TGGTAATCAGCTTTAAACAAAAAGGCTCCGAGTACATCGCAAACAGCAAGAGAGGCAGTGGACAAAGTTTAATTGAGAGCAAAATATAAAAGAAAAAAACTCGTAACTCCCAACCTATACCACCAAATGGCATAACAGGTTTAAACCAATCAAAATAAAGGAATAGGGGCAGTGGACAGACAGCCTTGCCTTCGAGATGAAAGGACGTGTGCGCATAAACGCGTAAAAGTGGCGTGATCCTCTGTTGTTTTGTGAGACCGATGGCCACCGCTCCTCTCGCTGTCTATGCCCTCCCCTCCCGTCGCCTCCAGGAATATTGGTATGAAAATGAGACCCGATGAACGAGCGTCATTCCGTAACCGCCACTTTTTCTCTTGAAGAGGACTTTGTTATTACCCCCCGACCGAACATCTTCTCGCCTCACCAACGTCTGCACCATCAAACGCAATTCTGGCTGTTCTAACGATTTCAATCGGTCATCTATTCCTCAAGCCGTCAGCGACTGGAACAGTTTTCACCATCTTCACCATCTTGGACCCTGCTGATTTCTTCTCCGCAGTAAAACTACACCTTTCTTGTCATTATCTTCAATTATGTATAATTTCTTTGAGTTCCCCCATTGTATCATGCTTGTGTTTTGGCCTTTATATTGTTCAAATTCTGATTACCCCCCCCCCCCCTTTTATGTAATGCCCTTAGCGGGCCCTTAAGGTGGAATGAATGAACGAATGAATGAATGAATAAATCAGTGAAGGAATGAATAGGTCTGTTCTCAAAAAGGAGGGCGGCAACATAAGCTTACAATGCGCCTCCGTCAAAACCTGATACGAAGCGTCAGCTGCCTCCCTCCTAAGCACCTTGTGGAATTTGGCACTGAGTCCGTCCAGGCCGGGCGTTTTGCCAGCGGTTAGCACATCAATGGCCTTTTCAATCTCGCAAACTGTATTCGGCGTTTCTAATCTTTCGCGAACGTCATCTTGCTGATTGGGCATCAAGGACACAAATTTACCATCAAAGCTGTCGTCAGCAGGAGCGCTACGCGTGGAGATTACAGGAATGCTGAACCAATGCCCTCTCAGTTAGGCTTTAATCGCAAGTTATCGTGTTATTATATCGTATTTCCTTAATCTCGTTTAGCTGCGCATGCCTTTTCTCATTACTAAGCGCCCGTTTCGTCTGCTTTTCGAATAAAAACAACCTCCACATCCGCACAACTAAGCCCCGCTGAAGCGCAATTATAAACCATATCCGAAAAGTCCGAAGCACCAAGAAGCATTCTGGGTTTGTATTTACACGTGCTGCATCTGCTGATATCTGCGGCCGGACAAGGTATCCAAAATAAAAGTTCTCGCGTGTGTGTGTAATGTGTGCGTGTGTGTGCGCCCGCACGCACGCACGCAAGCAAATAAAAAAAAATAAAAAAAGCCCTTAGGAAATTATTGTTGTGAGGTAATGAATAGGGACTTTCGGCATTTTGATTTCGGTGTTCTGGTTTTCCTGCGATTTTGTTTTTATGGCGTTTTAAGTTTTCGATCTTCTAATTTTCGGTCTTCTGAAAATTTATCATTTTAATTTTTGACATTTTGAATGCCACACACATGAATGGATGACTGGTCCAACGAGCACGTAGCTCTCACCGTACTGTCTGCTCAGGGATGGGCTCTCACCGTACTGTCTGCTCAAGGACCTTCCCCCGAAAGTACTCATGAGCTTGTCAGAAAAGAACCCAAAAAAACGATGCACAAAAATAATAAATAAATAAATAAATATTGAGCTTGCGTGCTGGCCGGGTCAAGCTTCAACGCTTAGCATGGGAGAGGGACGTAAAATAGCGAGAGAGAAATGGGAGGAGGAAAATAACGAAAAGAGAGAAAATCTTCTGCCTGGCAGAAGATATTTCCGCGTCTCGACTTTTCAAGCAATAGGTCCTGTATCGAGGGCCATTTCAACCAGGCAGAATGACTTGGTGATCTCCGTTCTCGTTAGCCCTGATACCGCGGCCCCGGCGTGGGCCGCTGACACCGCTCCTTCGGAGCCAGACATTGCACGTCCGTACGCTTCGGCGGCCGAAAGTCGCACCACGAAAAACCATAAGAATTGTCAATAAAAAAAAATGTTCCTGAGTTTGTGTTAACAGGTGGCAACAGTTGCCAACAAATAAAATTTGAGCAAAAATTTTGTTTCCGCCCGGGATCGAACCGGGGACCTTGCGCGTGTGAGGCGCACGTGATAACCGCTACACCACGGAAACGGATGATAGTTGCCTATTTAAACAAGTCACTTCTGTATGTAGGTGCCAACAAGTCAGCGTTCAGCAAAAAACTTGTTCCCGCCTGGGATCGAACCGGGAACCACGTGATTACCACTACACCTTTTTTTTTTTTTTTTCGTGATAACCACTACACCACGGAAACGAATGATAAGTGACTATTTAAACAATTTAAGCAATTAAACAACATCCAGTATGTAGCACTATGTGGCAACAAGTCAGCGTTCAGCAAAAAACTTGTTCCCACCCGGAATCGAACCGGAGACCTTGCGCGTGTGAGGCGCACGTGATAACCACTACACCACGGAAACGGATGCTAAATGACTATTTAAATAATCTGCTTCAGTATCTATCACTAGGTGCCAACAAGCCAGCGTTCAGCAAGAAAGCTTCTCCCCGCCCGGGATCGAACCGGGTGCCGCCTTGCGCGTGGGAGGCGCATGTGAGAATCGCTACACCATGGAAACAGGTGGAAACGGTGATAGCTTTCTATCAGTTTGCTTTATTTCGCACATCTGCAGCAGAAGCATCTATTAACCCTTTCCGTGGATCACGGAGCATATGCCATCTGTGTGGCATTAAATAATCAGTCACTTGTGTTGCGCGGGATCAATATCTTTGAGAAAAAATATCGCTCCCGCGCTTCCAATACAAAAGTCTTTTGTATTGGATTCGATAAGCCATGACCTGTGCTAGGTAGACCTGCCGTGACCCACTAGGGACTCACGACGCACCATATGAAAACGAGCGACATCCAGTGCGGCGTGGGTCGCAAGCGCCCCACGCGATTTACCTCCTCAAACAGGAATCCCAAACATGAGGTGTGCGGGTCGCATGCGGCCCGCGACTCTCTGGGTGCGGCTCTCAGGTATCCCGCGGCTGCAAGGTCCCGCTCCTATGCTTCGAGAACCGCGTGCGCCATAAATATTGACATCTTGTCGTCCATTCAATTCAATTGGAAACGTAGCTCCACTCTTATGGTTTTTTATCATATCTAGCACCAATTTGTTTTCTTATGGATCAAGGATCATTTGTCTAAAATGCCGTTTCTAGTTCGTTGGTTTCTAGCTCTATAGAAAAATTCAAGCGTGTTAGCGGAATGGGGCTATTTCAAATCTTGTAATCACACTAGGTACAAACCCAAAGTATAGTTGTATGACAAAATCAGTACTAGAGACGTCACTATCAAAACGACGATTTTACAAAAAGCAAATAGCACGAAAAGCCGGGGTCAAAGTGCTCATGCATCATACAAAGGACAGTATGCAAACACGAGTCACCGCAATATCTTTGGTTCGAATGCCGCGTGCCAAGTTTCTCCTTGACCTCATATTGCCATGCGGCACTCGAAGCACGGATCTCGACGTGACTCGCGCTCGAATCTGCATGCAACTTGTCTGTTGTATTATGTATAAGCAGTGTGACCCCGGCTTTAGGATATCTCCGAGTGTCGCTGAGACTCGCTGCTTTGAAACATGGAACACCTTCCGCCGCCCTACGATGACTCTCAAAACTTCGGGGGTGGCGTATCTGACCCCCAACACCTATATGAGTTTGAGACCCCTGCTCTAAAGGATGCATGAATGCACCCAGACGGTGCTGCCCTCGTAAATGGAAAATCACCGTTAGTAAGATGGTTGTTCATATGGGTGTCAATATTTTAATTGCGAGTGGAAGTGGCGTATTTCCTTTAAGCACACCCCGCAATAAGTCCGAGACAACATGCGGGGAAAAGCGGGCCCACGCGCTCGAGAAAGCCGACGGACCTGCACGGAACGTCCGAAGAGGGTGCACGGATTGCTGGGCATCGATCAGTGAAAGCACCAACCCAAATGAAGCCAGAGTGGTGGTGCGGGGTCAACGCCCTACTACTATCGCGCACCGACCTAAACGCATGCAAAGGCATGTTGTAGTGAGTTGTACTGCTCTCGGATACCACTGTCCGCTGGGCGCGCCTCCAGCGATGAACTCGGGAAACCCAGCTGAATCTTTGTTTCTCTGCATCTCCTGTTGGAACGGCAGGCCGTATACACACAGATTTTTTGGGGAGAGTCTGGCTACGGGAACAATCCAGGGACATCGACACACACCTGGCAGGCGTCCTTGCCTCCTTCGACGTAACCGGCGCAGAGGAAGCCCTGTGTGATGGGCTGAACGTATCTCCTGTCGCAGTCCTCGTTCCTCCAGATTGGGAAGGACACTTGCTGCAGTGTTCCGCTGTTGGAACCACCTGCGCAAAAGAGGCCATACAATTTTTGAGGTGTTGCATCCTTCCAGTGCAATAATTAAACTTCCATGCAAAAAAAGAATTTAAAAAAAAACATGTACAAAGGTGCTCCCTCGCATCTTACAAAAAAAATATATATATATATAAAGTGAGCGTGTCGCGGCTATGCAAATTATTCTTCGCAGAAAGCTACTGCCACACTGCACAGACAGTGTGAATCTTAAATATCAGCGGCCATTGAATCCACTTTGGAATACATTTTAGCGCTCAAAAAACAGGGACAAAGAGGCGAGAAACAGACAGCACAGTGCGCTACTAACAACTGATTTTATTACGTGAAACGACACTTTTATACCATCTGAGTTTCTGATTTTGCTCCATCACTAGCCAACCCGGTGCCAGGCCGCGTCATTGAGGAAGCGCTAAAATGTATTCCAAAGTCCAAAACCAACTAGCCCAGCAATCGACTCTATTGAATCCACGTCAGTTTGTACGCCCGTGGATTGTGTAAAGATGTTCTGTCGTTGTTGTTTTGTGTTTTATTATGAATATGTCTCGGCAGTGTTTTTCTGCAGAACATATAGGTTTCGTAGTCACTTTTTTTTTTTCACAGGTTCGCAGGTACACAGAGCGTCACTGTTACCGCGAGATCGCCGGTTTTCTTCATATATATATATATATATATATATATATATATATATATATATATATATATATATATATATATATATATATATATATATATATATATATATATATATATTGTGACGAAGACGACGACGACACTGGGGCAAAGGCGTGCCTGACCATCACGTGCCACGCTCCGCGCGCACCGCCCGGCTTCCATAAAATCCTTTCTATCTCACTGAGTGGACGCGTCATTGTCATTTGCTGCCCGCCGGCCGCACATCTTCGTAACAATATATATATATATATATATATATATAAGTTTAAATTAAATATAGACAGACAGGGGAAAGTGAACACGCACCTAATGTTAGTTGATACTAAAGCGAGTTTTGTCTTTTAAACACATTGTGTGATACCCAAAATCACCTTCTCAAAATAACACTCCTTCCTAAACCCACAAAGCCTTATATATTCTAACTGGAGAATATAAGCGGCATAATCACGCAACTGATATTGTCTAATGTGGAGATAAGCGAGTTTTTGCAAAAATTACAAATAAAAAAAACAATTTGGATTGTTTTAACTCAAGGCTAGTATTGTCGATCCAATAATGTAACTGTAGGAATAATACAGCTTACTCCGGAAAGGAAGTTCTCGGCTAGCTTGATTCAGTAAGCTTGAAGCATGATAGAAAACTACGACACGCTTGGCCTGATCGCCGTGAGATCGTCGCAGCGTAGTCCATTCTCGCACTTCTAGAATCACCGTCAAACTTGTCGTCTTCATCTCAGGAAGTTACTGGGCTCGTAAGATTGCGACTTGCCATGACTCTTCGAACGCGTTCGAAGGTCGAGTGCTAGCGGAAGGCTTTCGTTGTTCGCGTTCGAAAGCGTTAGAACGGTTAGTAGAGACAAAGGCGGTTAGTTTTGCGTCTACCCGATAATCAGTCAGAGCTCGGCTCAAGGGCGTGCTCGCTTGCTCCGATCTCCTCCTCCTCCCTCAGTTTCTACCCGGATAGTCACTGACGAGGTGAGAACAGCAGGACGTCTCTTTCGAATGCCCGGCCTTCAGCACACGCTGGTTGCCTTCCGCCGCGCTTTGGATGTGTGCGTGCGCGCTCGAGGCCCACGAGACGCCCAATCATTATCGAAGGCAGGAAGCCCGCGCTGGAGGCGTTACATCCGGAACTCTTTCCTGCCGTTCCGATCCTGCCAGTGACTACAGTTGTGAGGATAAAAAACACTGACAAGGTGGCGCGATTCGCCGCCCCATTCAGGGTGCTCAGACGTATTCCTCCATCGTTCATTCATGCAGCCAACTGGCACTAGAACGAGGCTTACCGTAGGACAGCGTGCCCCATCCGATGGCCGTGGCCATGACTCCCGAGAGCGGCTCGCGGGCCGTCGCCGTGACCGCCGGCTCAGGCAGGCAGATGGGGCGCACAGCGTCAGTGAAGGACGCGCTCTCCATGAGCCTGACCAGCGCGATGTCGTTGTAGAAGCCGTGCCGGGCAAAGCGCGGGTGCTGCACCGCGCTCTCGACCCTGAAGTCGATGGGCTGCGCCTGGTCCCGGTCGCTGTAGATGTGGTGCTCGCCCAGCCGCACGCTCAGCTGTCCTGGACGGTACCTGCCGTCGCAGGTCGACCCCCGATGCTTCACAGAGGGGCCGCCGCTTCCGGAGGTTCGGGGGACACGCGGGACGCAGCTTGTGCCGCGTGAGACCGTAAAGCCGCAACCACATTGCTCGCGAATATCATACAACAGACGCGGTGTTATATGCAGACACGAGGAAAAAAATATCTGCGTAGACGCCTTAAGCATCTTAGAATCCTGTTTTCCTTATACATGCTTCAAGCATGTCTGCAGACAGTTTTTGTATGACCAATGTGGCCGTCATACAAGGAAAAAACACGTCTTAGACAGTGTCTCTAAAGACGGTCTTTTGTACGAGAAGTGGGACCGCAGCTTAAAGGAAGGTCAATGCGGAGCGCAAGTTCGTCTGCTTCTTGCACGGGAGTTGCGATGATGTCAGAACGCCGAGCTCTTATTGGCTGATGAAAAAAAAAATAGTGGGTAGACCTCGAGGCATCTAGCATTGAGATCTACCCACAGTCTTTTCAATCACAGCCAATCAGAGCTCGCGTTGTTCTGACGTCACAGCAACTTCTGCACAAGAAGCAGTTGACTTGCCTTCCGCATACGTTTGTGTCTTCGAGGACGACAATAAACAGAATAATAGGCACGATTTCGATAATCCTGGTCCCGGCAGAGATTCGTGGGTCAGGCTTGGGCGGGGTCTGGGAAACCGTAGTGCATGACGGACGAATGTGACGTCATGGGCGAGGCGTACAATCGTTTCCCGCAACATTTAGGGGGTAAGACTGTCTGCTAACGAAGCTGGGTAGTATCTTGCTACGCCTGCTCAGATCTGTTTTGCTGACCTAGTCATTTCAACGAAAATACAACTTTACCCCCCCCTCCCCCTAAAAGAAATCTTGTGCACGTTGTTTTCTTTTTTTTTTTTTTTTGTATTTTAAAGATGTCACCGTTGTGGGCTTGGAAAGAGAGGGGGGGGGGGGGGGGGGGTCCCTCGTCCTTTTTACATTTGTAACCGCCTCGACTTGGCATTTTTTATGCACCAGGATTTTTTTTGTTGACTAGGTAATTTAATTATTTGAATATTGCTTAAATCAAGTATGTGCTCATTTGGTGGTGTTGGGAAATCGCCAATATAGGCGCGGCTTAAAAACACTGATATTAAAAAAAAACATAAAAAGGAATCTTACTCAGAGGAAAGATCAAATGCTTCTCAGATGCGTTCCTATAAATGACGATTTTTGCGTGTCCCTCGTTGTAGACATTTTTTTTTTCTAATGTAAAACAGAGGTTGTATTATGTACGAGGCTTGGTGCTGAACAAGTGATCGTTGCAGGAGTTTGTTCAAACCAGTACGAACATTGAAAACAAAATCAGTGAACAATCACTCGATTACAAATATATTCTCTCTTTGGATGTTGAATATCACAGTAAAATTTGCCATATACGGTAATCAGTTTTGTATCCAAAATCACTCAATCGATAGCGTTCCTCGCAACATGATGACACGCACTGGTTCACCAACAGCTCGACTGAATGCAACCTAAAATTTTGCTGCGGTACAAAATTAAAAAAAAAGGTCGCTGTCGCCGAGAATTTAAGAAACGCAGGGTGGGGCGAGTCCCGTGCATCACATTATCGCTCAACAGCCAATCAGATCGCAGCATTAGACAATAAGAACGTCGAAGTACTAATCAGACAGCAAGAACCATGAACCCAATAAAGCACGCCGTGCGTTATTTAACATAATAGTGACTGTAAGCGTTTTTTTTTTTTTTGTTTTTTTTCTTTTGTCACTTACATCTCCAGGATATAATGAAATCCACAGATGACGGGAATCGAGATTTTGAGAATGTTGCTTTTCGCGGCTGATTATTTGAGCCACCAAAAGGTAGGCCTAGAGAACGAGAAAAAAAATGGAGCAATAACGTCGTAGAAACACTCACTTGTACCCGGATGGATGTGACAGGCAGTGAGCGGCGGTGAGGACGTACCGCTCGTTGATGAGCGCCCCACCGCACCAGAACTCCCGACCCCTCCGACCTTCCAGGAAAATGGCGGCCTGCGAATGCATTTCTGTTCTTCTGTCAAACGCGCAAGCTGATCTCAAGAGAACGCCGCAGCCCTCGCCGTGATTACAATATGTAACGCTAGCGAAGTCTTGAGTAGCCGCAAAAAACAGTCCCCGGTTTCTTGCCATATCCCGCAGGTGAACTGTAGCGACAACCTTGACGCTGCACGCAGTTGCATTGTCTCGTTTAAAGGGACCATGAAATAGTACGTTTTGGGCTGGGATAAATTGGGAGTTTACGAATTGCATATCGTTTAGAGCGCCAAAAGAAAACTAGTTCACGAGGGTAGGAAGTCAAAAGCCTGCTCTTCGGTATGTAGATTTTATTATCTACAGGGACCATTTCTTACCTCCTTTCCTTCGAAAGCTCTCCGACTTTTTACTGCGATGCACCCGCGAACCCAGCTCGCGCATTAGACACGAGCACTGTGTGACTCGGACCTGTGCGCATGTAAACAATCGATCCGTCGACAAATATTTGAATTCGCGTTCGTGGCCAATAAGTGCCGTGACGGCACATATCATCTATTGCAAATGACAAGTTCCTTGGTGTGCTTAAAAAAACACCGTGGAAGCTTCGAGTCATCGCATCCGGTGCCCAAGCGCGTCCCGACCACATGATTTCTTATATCGCGTTTGAATTGAAGATTAACGCCACGGATGAAAGACGAAAAATCACTTCATGATCCCTTTAAATACAGCGAACGCGTGTCCCGCTAACTTTAGTGGACGGTGTTCACGTGACACTTTGACACCAAGTGGAAAAATGACCTAACGTGATACTAAGCTCCCGCTAAGGTTAGTGGGAAACTTGTGGTGGTAAAATCATGCAACATTGTGTCGTCAGATTCTAGGGACACTGGGATTCCCCGCTAAATTCAGCGGGGAAATTATTTGTGACGTCATGTCGCATATCACGTGACACTCCGACGTCACAATGTCACGACACTGATTCCCCGCTAAACTTAGCGGGAAAATGTATCCGCTAACTTTAGCGGGCGTCGACGTTCGTACGTGAAACATACATGCGATCCGCTGAGAACCTCGCGAATGACGGCTCACGCCGTAAAAGAGGTCAGGGTGCCCTTTGACCTTCCCCGGTGTCACCGTTTACCATCCAGGGCCACTGGCCAGGAGTTGCCTCGTGACCCCCGACGATTCTGGAGTCCCGGCCCGCGTGTCCGCACCCTGCAACGATGAAAAGTCATTGAACGTTCCTGAAAGACCTCTGAAAATGAAGACACCAGAGGCACTCAAAGTTGATCATTTTAAGAAGTGGAGGCAAGCACCCAGCGTTATCAAGATAGCCGCCAGGCACCAAAGACCTCAAGACACGATGGCTTTTTTAAATTATTTTGAGGCAGTCATTTTACCATTTTTTTAAATTATTTTGAGGCAGTCAGCAATGGTTATGATACAAAAATTAACAAATTTGAGACTCAAGCAAAGCAAACGACGTCAAGCGCCCGTAAATTTCTCTGATGGCAAGTGATATATATCATCGCGCAAAAGGGCCTCTCCCAAGGTGACCAGCCATTCGAATACACCGAACAATGCAAAATAGCGTGGTTCTAATAGAATATCTTGATACCCGTTCGTACCAAATAAAACATCGAATTACACAAAAATGCGACTGAGTTTTGACCACTAAGTACACACAGATATGACGCGAGACCACTGGAAACTGGAGTCTGACACCACCTTGATATGAAACGAAGAAAGGAGGGCTAAGATATTGGATGTGTCACGGCTGTAAAAGTGTTCATTGTACTTTAATTTTCTTATTCAGGTCAGATTCCCCATTTTAAATAAATTTCCGCGTCACTTTTTTCTCACTCAAAACAATTTTAAAGTAAATCAGAACTCACAAAAACGATCTACATTTTTTAATACAATTAACATACTTTTAAAACACACTTCTTGGATTTGCTATTCAAATCTACCGGTGGATGCTCATGACATAGAAATGCACATTGTCTAATAACAAAAGTCACCTTGCCACAGGAAAGCGCAGGCGCTCTGCCAGAGATAAGGTATGCTTGCTCCTGTGTATCACGTCATCAGATTTACAGAGATACTAAGATGCTACTTTTTTTTTTCTTTTTTTTTTTTGCGATGCATTTTTTGTTGTCGCTTTTTGCCATAGTATTACGTGTTTATCGATTAAATACGTAGAAAATCAGACGGAAATAAGAGGACTGTGACCCAGAGACTCTGGGAATTGCCGAAATTAAACGAAGTTGTTTTACTCCCGCCAAGCTTTCAGACTTTTTTTGTTCAGTCGTCGGTGTTTATCGGTTATAAAAAAAAATATTTCTTTTTTATATCATAAATCATGGAAGGAACGAATCGCACCCAACAAGGCTTATTGCTTCGCAGACATTCTGATTTATATGTCGACATTACGCGTGACTAACCAACACCTCCTATACTTCGTTGCACCTTAATTAAAGAAATAGTACAACGAAATTTCGGCGCTTATTTAATATCACGTCGGACACGCCAGTATCTTGTTAAAAAAGACAAAAACAAAAGAATTTTAAAACCAATTAAGTGATTAGCAAACATCATCTGATGGATGTCGCCAAAGCCTCGTTTGTGATGCCCGTCTAAGAACCCTGACAGGCGATAACTGCCTCGCCCAGAACTATACACCTTTTCCGCGTAGTCGTCGCCATCTTGCGTGTTGCAGCGACAGCCGCGCCGTCTGCCGTCTGGCGTCTAGTTGTTGTGCGCCCATTCTGGTATGCGGAAAGCAGCGTTGTTCCTAGCTCCCGCGTTGTCCCCATTGACCCCGCGCATCGTATCTTCATTGTTTTCCCTTTAGTGAGTTCTTAATTTGTTTTTTATTGAAAGTGTGAATTACTCTTGTGTTCTGGCGTGTTTATTCGCCTTCATGGCGCCCGTTGTTGCACCAACAGCGCCGAGAGGTTCGTCGCCAGCGTCGCCGGTAATCGAAATCGGAGGCATGTTCACTTTTCCTGAGGACGTTTACCAGTGTTTACTCTTCGCGTGTTGTTGTTTGTGAAGAATGTCTGCCTTCTGCGAATGACTAACGGAGGGTTTCTATGCGCGAGCGAGGGCGACCCTGGACATAGAAGTATCATCGTTTAATCGTAGAAATACTCACAATGGGAGTTGGCGACGCGGGCCGAACGGTTTATTGTTATGGTGCACCGTCGAGGTACGATCGCTAGTTACCGGGACATCTCTACTTCGTATGACGCCCAGATGCTTCGGAACTATTCAGGAGATGGGGGTGAAAGGGGGGGGGGGGGGGGTAGGACGACGACGTTTTTTTGCCCTCTTTTCGTATTGTTTCTATTAACGTACTTTAACGGGCGTCGCTACCGAGCAACATACAAAATTATAGTGCACAACCTCGTAGGAATGAACGGAATGAAAAGCAAAACATGAGTAGACAATAACAATCATTACACCCAGGGGCTTACATTTGCACCACAAGCTGCAAAATTCGTTCTGCATTTGACTTATCGAGGCCTATTACTGCACTTGTAGATGTCCGTTTCTATACTGCCTATTTGCTTTTTTTATGTGCTGATATTGCATAGCTTCCCCGCTGATATCAGCGGGGAAGCGATGCAAAATGTATACGTTACAGCCGCATTCGCTTTGCGACTTCTTGTGTTCGGTGCACAATTTGTCGCGCGCTATCTTCCGTTTTCGGAAATTGCTGCTGCAGCCAACGACTGCGCAGTGGCAGCCCGATGACCAAATATGCGCGGACATGATGCTTCGACGTATTAACCCACCTTATTACAACTCACTTCGCTGTCAAGTGCTTCAAAACCCATTTAACGCGCACCACTTCAGCATCTTGCCAGCCGGCTAGGCCTGCTCCCGCATACCGGAAGTGTTAGAACCGGAAGAACTATTCCCGCTGTGCGCCGAGTCGCCGAGTCGAGGCTACGCACGTTACGCGCTGGGTCGAGGTTAGACGGAAAAGGTGTATACATGCTTTGAACCTGGCGTCATCCCGACAACTGTACGGCCAGCGAAAAAAGAACAGGAGAGGGAGGAACTCCCCACTCAACCGGACTCTCTTTCGTTTGTCCCAGACGTCGCTATTCTCCCTCTACAAGATTATAGAAAATTAACCCGTCACTCAAAATTCACACAAAAGCAGCTTTGCGGTTAGTTGCGATAGCCCGATCACTGCCGCGCTTCGACCGCTTCGGTGACTCGAGCGGCTAGGGCAACCTGACGACGTCAGCCTCGCCGCAGTTTTGCTCATCCCGAGACAAACTACGTCACGATTGCGCCGGGTGTGACGTGCTCTCCGCTGGCTGCTCTCCATCGCTTGCCAGAGTGGGCCGTTTATAACGAAAAATACAGCCCTTAGGCTCAAAATGCAGTCATCAGGCTCAAAGATTTATGTTTGTCCTTTGTCCCTCTTGTTCCCCTTCCCCAGGGATTATTTTCATCATTCTTGTCCAGCTCGCTTGCACCTTTGCATTTAATTGCATTATAATTACAAGCGATTGTCATTTGCAGATATTCTGGATCATATTCAGCCTATTTCTGAACACGGCGGGTATAATTCAAATTTCGTTGAAGTAGACGCAGCCGACGCTACTAGCTGATGGGACCAATCAGACAGCGTCAAAAGCGAACCATCGTGGTGCTCGTCATCTTTTTGTACATGTTCTATCATCGCTGAAACAATCATAAGCTGAAAAGGCCCTGTGACTTGCGCTTTAGAGGCCGCTTGATTGGTCACAATCGCTCGTAGCATCGGCTGCTTCTAGGCTTAAGCTGAAACGAAGAATAGATCACAAAAACATATTGCTGAACAACGCGCCGCACTGATTGGTCCCGAACGCCGCATCCGCGTTCGGCTCAGACTCGGGCCAATCAGTGAGATCACGAGTCCCAGCCTAACACTGACTACGTGCTCGTCTGCAACCTGCGCCTCTAGTCAACCTCCAGCAGGTGGCCTATAGGGTTTAAAGAAAAGTTTATTGACACTGTAAACTGCAAGACGTAAATCACACCGGTATACAATAGGAACATGTACGCTACAAAGATCCAGGGGCGGAGGTAACGAAAAAACATAACTTAGCGAACCAAATAGGAGGTATCCACTGGACGTCATATTTGAGGGCGATGTTTAGAGCGCATGCTCAGAACGAGCTCACATTAACAGCCTGCTAAGACCGGCAATCTTGATGGTGCTAAATTCGCGCTCCAAAAGGACTGCGGAAGCTCGCCGTCAGCACGCGCTCAGCAGCAGAGCACACGGACAAGGCCGCCAGTGAATACCCCCTATACTTGGCGACAACTTTTCTTGGCAATGCAGTGGAGTGTGCAGGTCCCATTTTGAGTGCTGGATAAGGCTGTGCGCGGGCTCTCCTCAACTTCCACTGCATTTCCAAGAAAAGTGGTCGCCGAGTATAGAAAATGGCGGCCCTTCAAAATGGATCTCCGAACAGACCGAAGCGCTCTCTTACGTCTGGTGGGGGCTGGTGGTGGCAGCAGGGGCGTCGGCCGGGAGACCACAGGCGGCGGAGGTGGCTGTGGCGGCCGCAGCGGTGGACGAAAGACGGCTGGGTGGGGCGGCCTCGGAGGCCGCGGCCTGTGCATATTACTCACGACTATCGTCGGGCTGGACGCCACCGCCACCGGCTTCCTCGTCGGCCTGTTCACCGCCACGACGATTGTCGAAGGTGGCTTGCTCAGCGGCTTCTTCGTCGTGTCGTAAGGCTTCCGGGTGGTGTGCAACGCGTACGGCTTGTTGTAAGGCTTCACCGATGTCGTGGACGGTGTCGAGCTCGTGACGTTTGTGCCCTCCACTACTGCGACGGTGATGAAGTTGGATTCCGTGTAGCCTTCCTCCAAAGCTGCCGGGGTCGCCGTCGTGGGTTCTTCGGAAAGGTTGGCAACGGAAGTTGTCGATGTTGTTGTCGACGACGTCGTTGTGGGATACTGTTATAGGGTGGTAATAGTACAAGTATTACTTTTTTATTTTAATTAAACATATATGTAGTTTCAGATGTGGACTTTTTGCCATTAGGCACGTTAGATTTATCTGTACCTCTTGCACCGGTGCAGAAAATTGTAGGGCACTTTACTTCCGGTTTGTGTATTGAGGTACGACCGGAAGTATACTCCGCCCCATACTTTTCTGCACAGGTGCAGGAGGTGCAGGTAAATCGGACGAACCTACTGACGTTATCAGTTCAGTGCGTGTGCTTTGGGCACATTGCTTGCTTGTCTAAAAGGGGCACTCAAGGTGATTTTGAAATCGTCTGTTTACCGTCATAACTCCATCTATGGGCTCTAAGCATCCTAAGAAACCCGAAATTACATTTAGGGCGGCCGATTTCCCTTTTAAAAATCCAAACAAAGATCGTGCCTGCCCCCTTTCTCTGCCACGGCGCAGAACACCGGACGGGAAGGTATACCTTGGTATACCTTGATGCTACAATTGATGTCTTCACCCTGAAGCAGACGCACATCAAGGCATGCCCAATCTCTGTGTAAAGCAGCTTTTACTGTTCATGTCGAACTGGCAGTTTAAATCATTACCTGCTTTTATTGTCATAAATGGGTCTTTTATATACTATAAACTTTATTCTAGAAGCTCAATAAGTCTAATTTCAAGCTTTTACTATGTAACTATGTAAAAAAAGTTCATATGAAGCAAATTTAACCTTTAAATGGGCACTCAACTACAGGAGTCTACAGGGTGTCACGAAAGAAAATTTACACGGTCTTTTTTACCGCAAAAATAAACTAGACATCGTCGAACGCTCATTCTCCGCCCAATGGTAGAGCTAGAGGTCACAACCAGATGCCAAAGTTTCAGCCCGATCCGATAACTTAATCAAAAATTATAAGTGATTTTCTGACAATTTCAATGGGAAAATGGCGGCTGACGGAGTTTTCAAGCACATGGGGCTCTATGGCACGAGAAACGGAAAACGGGCAAATATATACATATATATATTTGCCCGTTTTCCGTTTCTCGTGCCATAGAGCCCCATGTGCTTGAAAACTCCGTCAGCCGCCATTTTCCCATTGAAATTGTATAAAATATATATATATATATATATATATATATATATATAACGCGAAATACGAGCCTGACACACAAACACCTGTTTGCGTATTGCCCTCGCTTGACCAAGCGCCAAGAGATGCGCTGCTACTTTGTTCTTATCGGATTGGGGGCCGTTACGTTTTGCAAACAAAGTAATGGTTTATATATAGACGACTGCATAGCTGACTGCGTCGCCTACAAAACCAAGAGTATATACGTTCGCTTGCACACAAATGAAATTGCAAAAATGTAGATGAACAATGTAGTAAATGAAAGAAAGCTGCGTCTGCAGGCGCTGGCCTAGACAGGTCAACTCTATAGACTGGCTTCCCAGGGAAACAGCAGTCATTAGGAGTCGTTTGAGACCAGTCGGAACGAACTTTCCTTTCTTTGATCGCTGCGTGCCTATAACATATGTGTATAAAATGGCGCTGGCGCACTAACCCTGCCTGCACAGCAGACGCCCGGAAAGAGTAGGTTCTGGAAGCAGATGGACTGCCTGAGTCGAGTGAAGTCCAGCAGAACGTAGATGCACCGTGTGATGTCGCCGCAAGTGCCCAACAGTCCCTCCGGCGTCCGACAACGGTTCAAGTCGTACAGCTGCGACAGCATCTGGAAAAAGCTCGTTCCTGAAAAAACAAAAAAACAAAAAAAAAAACATAATGCGTGGTTTGAGTCCGGTCCGTATAGGGGGTTGCACGCTTTGTATACATCTTATGTATACTATAGTGTAGGTAACAATGTGAAAGTGAACAAACTTCCTCGCTTTTTTAACGTATCGACAAATTTGGGACATGTTAGGGTCCCGATGATGGCTAGAACGGAAGGTTTATACTTCGTCTCATCCTACGATGGACTAAAGGCCAAAGCCACGGGCCGCAAGGTCCAATCACGTTGCAAGCTAAAATATGACACGCTTAGCATTGGTTAGGGGTGGGCGAATGATCCTCCGAGTCCAAAAGCGCTGCATCATTTTTATAGCTTCGACAGTGCAAAGTATGACATAGCTTTCTTTGCAATGTAAAATTGTTGAGTCACTCAGCCGTCCGCCCCTCCCCATTAGTGATTCGAGACGCGGTTGCCGATACGCGCATCGTAGGGAAATACCACGCAACTTGTAAGTGGCTCGTGATTGGATCTGGCGGTCCGTATACCTTCTGCCTTTAGTCCATCGTAGGGTGGGACTAAGTATAGATTCCATACTACATACTGTTTGACAAGTTAAGGTTTATCGAAGGTTGTGGGAGCCGTGAAGCTGAAAAGAAGAAAGACCAACTGTTCTTTTTAATACAGTGGCCGATAGGACCGTCGTTGTGGCTGAAAGGGTGGCATGGCCCCGTCAGGCGTTAAGTCTGCCTAGCCATGTCACCCAAGGCACTGCTGTAAATTTTGTCTCGAATAAATGCAATCAAACAAGCGAAGACTTTTTCCACGACTAACGTCAAGAGTCCATCATGATCATTGCTTCCCGCGACTAAATCAGGCACAAACAAACCCAAGCTGGTAATATTGCATACGCGGATATCTAAGGGGAAAATAAACAAAAAGACAGCTCATTTATGAAAGAAGCACTCATATTTCCAATTCTTTTCGTATTTTTTTACGGTCGACGTAAGGACCTGAGCATTATGCATGAATATATGTGCGGAGAGACATACTGTCATATAATCATGGTTCCATGTTTTCGGATAAATGCTAGAAACAGCGCACGCATCATTGAGACATTTCCATTTCAGAAGAAGGAATATGTTTTCTTTTGTTACAGATCAAAGTTCTAAAATCGGGGGGAGGGGGGGGGGGGGGGGGGGGGGGCTGTAACATACTAAACGCATTCTTAAAACGATACGCCGAGTGGGTTTCGCAATATTTAAAGCTAATATTTCGACGCTCAATATCACAAATTATTATTACTGCTCCATACCAATTATAAACCCATCTTTTAACAAGCACTTGTTGTAAAATAATGGAGCATGTGGTATAAGAACGATTACATTACTATTTGGAAAGCAATAATCGTTTCGACATCAACCAACATGGCTTTCGACGCAGGCTTTTTGCAGTTACCCAGCTGAGTGAACGCATTTACGACTTTTCCAAATGTACCTATTAGGGGGAGGGGGGGGGGGACAAACCTGTGCAATGCTTCTATATTTGTTAAAAGCCTTTTATCGAGCTAGAAACAATAATCTTATTAATTAAATGAAGATGATTGGGTCAGTTTATAATAGGTTAATTGAATAACAGCTTATCTGCCCGGAGGAACACAATTTGTTGAAAAAAATAGCAACGCTTCTAGTATTTTGTCAGTATCATCGGGCGTGCTGCAGGGCTCCGTTTAAGGCCCGGCATTTTTTTTTTTTTTTTTTTTTATTATACATAACTGACATAGCAGAAAGCATTGACGATTCCATCGCAGTGCGGCTATTTGCGGATGACTGTCTCATCTAGAGTAATGTAAAAGCTCGGGAGGATCAAACTAACATAGAAAGCATACTTCACCAAATCGGGTTGTGGTGCCAAAAATGGGGAATGACAATTAGTACTGAAAGAAAAACGTACTGCTTCAGTTTACAAATCAGAAAACTAAGTTACCTTATGTATACACAGTGAACGGATTCCCATTGAAAGAAGTGGCTTGTCACAAATACCGAGGCTAAACAATTGAAAATAATCTTGAAAGAGGAAGACACGTCGACAACATCTGCTGTTCTGCAAAACGTACACTAGGGTATCCTAAACGAAATTTCAAATATCCAACCACGAGTGCTAAGTTAATGGTTTATAAAACTGTCGTGCGACCGGTACTATAGTCGGTTGCAAGCTAAGAAAAAACCGGAAATGCCTGTCAGAGGAAAATGTAATCCTACGCCGAGAAACGCCAGCCAATCGTTTTCATGACGTCACGATTCCGTGGACCAATCGCAATCCTTTTGAAAAAAAAAAGAAGCTCAACATGGCTGCTGGCCTTAGCAACGCGACGCTAGTTTCTCGTGACAATAGGGAGTTTTCGTAGATCGTTTTCGCCGTCCCGCAAGGCCCTCCGCAACCCGCTACGATAGCGGGAACTCCACGGTCAAGGCTATCGGCGCGCAGGCGCAGTAGCAACTTCTTCGTTGCGGAACGCTTAGCGGAAGGGGAAGCGCGGTCTACGAAAACTCCCTAATTACTCTGACTTTTTGCACCGTGCTTTACGTGCCCGAGGTTACGCCACGAGATCTTAACGGTATCGGCTTGCGTTTGCAGCAGGTTTTGCGCGACAACGTGAGAATCCAGCGACGATATCGCCAACGAAAATTTCGAAGCGGGCGCGAGGCTTAGCACCGCTTTCCCTCTATCGAAGGCGCTGGAAGACGGTATGTTAGACAATATCTTGGACAGAAAATGAATTGGGAAGACGGTACATTGGACATTACTTTCTTTCTTTACTAAACAGCTATTTCGTTGACAAAAACGTATTCTAACTTATTTAAATGTCCTGAATGAATTAAATAAATATTGTAGTAGATTAAGACACTTTTCCTGGAGGAAGAAAAAGCAACGTTGCTAGCGAACTACTTTCTCGACGGCGGAGGCACTTCAGATAGGCGCAATGCGCTTGTGGGTGGAGCTAAAAGATTGTTCTCAGGTTGCATCCGACTATAGAATATGCAAACGTGATATGTGTCCCTCATGAGAAAAACCACATCGAGAAGCTAGAAAATGCTCAAAAATTTGCATATCGCTATATTCTCTCCTGGTACAAACGAACTGACTCTGTTCGTGATATGCTAAAACAAATTGATTTTATATCTCTTTCTGATAGGCGTAGGAACATTAGAGTTAAGTACATTTTTATGTTGTATCATGGTCTATTTGACATAGAATACACAAAATACCTGAAGCTTCGAATAATTCGTGCATTGATAAAATGTCACTGCAAAACGTTAGAACCCCTGTAGAAAGAACGTGTTTCATTGTTCATTTTCCAAAACAATAAATGAATGGAACCTTCTTCCCCAAGAAATTATAAATTCGGCTACTCTTGTAGATTTTCTTCACTATCTAGAGCGTTTTTATAAGTAAGTTCCCGTGATTTCCATGCAATGCGTGAAACTTGTAAAATTTTTTTTTTTTTCTTTTTTTTTTAAGTGAGAACTGTGACTTTAAAGTACATGTACCGGTGGGATAGAGCAATCGTGGAATGGCAGGTGTTAAACAAGTGCAAATGTCCGTCCTTCCGTGATATTTGAATGGAAATGACGCATGGTTTGTGTTGTTGTTGATTGCTGCTGCTCTTGATTGCTGCTGTTTATATTTAGATTGTTATCCCTGTCGAGATTCCTCTTCCTGTAATGACCCCCTAGAGGGGTTACAGTATCGTTAAATAAAAAAAAATAAAAAACTCGCTGGTCAGATTTTTTTCAATTCGAAATTGTCCGCAAAACTCAGAATTTCAAGGTCAGGAAGGAAAAATAAAAATATAAGAAGGCGGTATTTTAAAATAAATTTAATAAAGGAAGAGGATCAGTTGTCCTGAGGAGTGGCCATTTTAGTTGCCTTTGAAATCTCGGTCTAGTGAACAAAATGGGATTTACCTTTTAGCTCATCAAGGTTTGTTCAGGACAGCGGGTCATAGTACCTCTGGGTCACGACAAAAGCCAGTGTTGAGATTTCCAGTTTGAACCATACTATTTGTGCTTCTAAGAGGAGGTGTGTGTGTATGGGGGGGGGGGGGGGGGGGGTTATAACAGTAAAAATTACGAACCCGTATATGCTTTAATGGAGGAAGAGGGCTGCTGAAGCTTCCATGCTTCCCAGTGACTACGTAGAGGAGTTAAATTATTTCAAAGTATCGGCTGTTATTCAGGCAAAATTTGTTCGCAATATTTGTCGTGATAGTTTGTATTGCGAATGGCAAGATCGTGAATGTTAAATGCAGCTTCAGAAGTATTCAATACAGGTGAGTTCTGATCAGTTTAGAGTTCATCTGCCCACAATTTTTTTTTATCTTTATTTTTTTAATCGGGAACATAATATTATTAAACTCTGAATTTTAAATCATTAGGAATTGAGCAGATGTAAGCTCCGACACACCCCGAAATTTCAGCGAAAAATGGACTCCGAGAATCCCCCTCCGAATTTTAAGAGAAATAAATTCCGAAAAACTGGAATCTACATATAATCCTTCAATGAAGGAATCGTCATTCATCCGCTGCTCACTGAAGCCTGTGATCAGTGACGCTTATGAATAAATAAAAAAAAAATGCTGTGCCCAGTTTATGTTCATGCAAATGGAGTCGCCAGGCTATTTTTCTATATGGGAGGGGGAGGGAAGAGGGGGACTGAGCTGACTGGGGTGTCGAACTTTTTTTTTTTTTTTGGGGGGGGGGGGGGGGGGTACAAAATGCATGAGTGTATTATAGGGTTAGTTAGATTCCCGGTGTTGTGGAAGGAGGGGAGGGGGAGCTGCTGAAGCCCTCCGAGTTCCCCACCCTAGCTACGCTACTGTGTTACCTTGTCTTTCGTATGTAACAAAATATGAACTTCACATTTTTGGTATCGACAAAAAAGCGTCGCTACTTACACACCAAATAGTTTCCTGCAGTTTGTGTTCGAAATAGATACCGGAAAGACTATAGTCTTGCGTCGG